CTCTTAGTGACATACAGTCGTTGCGTTCTTTAGAGAATCCGTTTTGCTTGCATTGCTACGGTCGTACGAGGCTGCATGGCAGCGACGCCTAGCGGCACGACACATAATACATATGTGTTGGACAGAGGTATCTACGGGTCCTCACCTAACGATCAAGTGATCGATTCCTAGCAACTACAATAGCGTTAGCTATACATGAACTTATCTATCTATCCTCTTTTTGTGATCAGTTGCCTACTACCCCACTAGGCCAACGTACAATTATACGAATTATTTGTTAAGTTTGGCACAAACATGGTCTGTTCGACACCGCATGCGTACCAAGTATGTTCACGGTGGTGATAAAACAATCGTCGGACATGCGAGCATGGCCTAAACATCAAGTTGCACATGTGCTGCTCCAATTCCGACGAGCTTTACCCCCCACTTTCGCCATGCTTGATCATATTTCGTCGCGACCAGCTTGATTGCAGAATGCCTTCATAAGCTTCTCTAGCTTGGGTACCATTATATAGTGACCATGACTCCAAGCGGTGACAGTATGTAAGCGAGCATCTTTACCTGTACATTCAATGGATCCCAACGTGGAGTCCTTCGGACCTTGAGGTTCATGATTGCTGTTGTGAAGATTACGTATTTAGCGCTCGCTTGACTTCTTTGAGCCCCGACTCTTAGTAGCCCATCCTCGAGTAAGGTTGCCCCGGCCCCCGGGGCTGGATCTGGATCCTATCGTCTTCGAGCACTTTTAGATTGGGCGCCAGCAGCTTGGTGTAGCGGTCGAAGTAGAGGAGCTGCTTAATGAATAGCCCGAACTCCCGCGGGAAGCGCAGTCCGTATTGTTCGCTCACCTTCACCTGAAAGATCAAACAAGAGAGAGGTCAAGCAGATGATAGATAAATCAACAAACTTGACAGAGTTCCAGGGATGAAACACAAAAGCCGTGTATGAATCGCAGTACTGGGTTGTGCACTTGAGAGTGCCCAATCCACGTCGCCGGTGCACTGGCAGTGCCTTACACTTTAAAACCACAAGCACTCTTCGTGTACCTAGTCGAAGTCTGAGAAGTCCACATGAGAAACCCCCTCCAGCAGAATCGAGCTGACATATATTTTGAAACGTTTCATGCAACCAGGCAACTGGCACTGCGCCACCCCGTCTCGAGATTCCCGCACCTAGGTAAACACAGCGCGTTAGAAAGCAACATGTCAACGGCAGGGCCTATCAAGCTCAATCGTAACCAGAACAGCAGCTCACCAGCTCTAACACCAGGCCGTTGATTTGCCGGTCATCGACGGCCAGCTGCGCGGCATATGCCGGGCCGTCGGGGCCCTGGGCTGCAGCAACAATCAGGTCCGGCTGGATCTCCTCCACCTTTGCAAACAGGGCTTGCAGGTCCAACGCGAACCGGTCAATATCCACCTGCATGACAAGAAGAGGATGTGACTTGGCAGGTGGAGGAAAGGGTGACCGGTAGACGAGACCCAGGTGGTCATGAAGAAGCTCGGGAACGAAAGCATGGACGTGTTTGGCGGTGATTTTAGTGACATGTTGACTGTTGTTGACAGGCCACCTATGGAACAATCACCATGCTTTTTGACCCCCTCCTGTCCTAAGAGCGAAGTCAATCCCGACAGGCATTGATGCTGACTCGCTGCTTCCAGGAATGGTACTTTTAACAAACTCACTGAAGAGTACATAATTTCGAGCCCGACTCTCGAAGCGTGAAGCGCAGCGACTCTCGGTTCCAATCTGTAGTGACGGTACGCTCTACTCACCTGGTCGGCAGTGGCGCCCATCTGCGCCAATGCAATGGCCATCGCTCGGTACTGCCCCGCTGAGCCGACCGACGCAAGGAAGGCCTGCAATTCCAAACATCTTAGCTAAGCCTTAAGAAAAGGATGGCGTCACATAGCTTGCTAAGAGGGCAGTTAAATCAGAAAGTGTCTAGAAAGAAGGACACAAGTAACGTCTTTGATCAATCCCAACATGTAAGAGTGCTGTCGAAACTCAGCAAAGAAGGCACCACGATTCGAAATATCAAGGGACGGCTGTGCTGCAACCAAGGAAATGCCCGAGCAACGAGAGCTCCAAACTTCAGACGCAGATGTCAACGCTTACAGCGGAGGAAGGAGCGGCAAACAACTGAGACCCACAGTGACGCGGCTTATGATCCTGCCTTATTCCCACAAAACTGAACCCGAAAAACGCTGGTTAAGCTTAATCGGCGCTCACTTGAATGGACGCCCACGTCGGGGGCGAAATTCGCCCCACGATGCCAAAGTCGATGAACCCCACACGGCCGTCATTCAACACGAGGAGGTTCCCGGCGTGGAGGTCGGCGTGGAAGCTTTCGCACGCAAGGACGCTGCCGAACCTGCAGACGAAGGAGCTGGCTAATAACCGCAAACAAGACCTCGGCCCTTTTGCCTCGGCGTAGTGAACAATCTTGGAGTAGCTTCCTTCTCCTGGATTCGGAAAGTGGAAAGTTGCCCAATAGCTGCTAAAGCTTCCCGTTCGCCACGTTACACAAGTGACCTTCATGCCGCCACTCTCAACAAACTGAAGCGCTGCCCGTTTGTTCCACCTTTGCAGACAGAAACCCGTACAATGATGTGCAGCTCGGGCCTTGAAGGGCGTTACTGATGGGCCCAACAGCCTCCGCGCTGCTCAATCCTTTCTCAGGTCGTGTAAACAGCTGATCTTCCAGGACATGAAAGTTCACAATCCTCGATTGTTGAAGAGCAGAGTCAATCAGCACTAAAGGCCGCGCCCCGCACTGCCACTCACCAGACATTCAGCGCGCCAATCAGCGTCGCCTCCGGGTCGTTCGACACTTTACGGATTGCTTCAAGGTCCGTGAGCGGAACGCCGTATAGCCGCTCCAACGTCAGCACTTTCTTCCCGCTGGCAAACCGAAACACCTCCGGTGCCTTTGCAACCTGCATCAACCCGCCCGACTCCAGATACGCACTGAACGCCTGGATGTTTGCTGCTTCTTTCGAGAAGTCCGTCTCCTCTAGCATCGAGTTCCGGATGTCGGCGACTATGCCGACAATCGACGTGCTGCGCGCGATGTCGGGGTTGAGGAACTCGAGCAGGCGCGCGGCGACGTACAGGAAATTGAGGTCCGTCTTGAGAACGTCGTCAACCCCGGGCTTGAGGACTTTGATGACCACGTCGCGGCCGCTGCCCTTGAGCCGGGCGACATGTACCTGGACGAAACAGACGTTTCAAGAGAGAAAGCGGATGGATGCGAAAGTGAAACTTCAGCTGATAGTTGACGGCCGCTTTTGAGCCTCGTCCCTGGGATCATCGGTCGCGGACGGGTGAGGTTTCAGATTTGGCTCAAGTTGGACGGATAAATGTGAGGGGTTATGCAGTAGGTGGATCCTTGAAAGCCCGCGGTGAGTGGTTTTTCTCATCCAACCTCCTAGCAGAAACCTATTAAAAGACACCTATCAATGGACTGATCTCTGCTGCTGTTTCAGTAAGAGCACGTGACCAGCCCCTAAACAGATCTATCAACGGTGGACTTTTGATGGACAGCACTTCGACTAACCCACGTATCTAGGTTACTTTGCTCTAGCAAACCTGCATAAGAGTATTATGACATCAGGACAGTAGAGCTTGATTTCCATATTCTACACCTCAGGATCAGGGTCTGGCTGCATAGACCAGTTTAAAAGAAAAATTGACACCTGCGGATCCCTGACTTTCTGCTGATCGACAGCCGAGCGCCTAATGCTTAACCCCCCCACATGTTGAGGCTGTCTGAACTGGGTCTCAGGAGGGCCCTATAGTCATTGTATGTAAAATTTTGAGACTGCTGCATTTGGAATTAAAATGAGGTCATTGACGCCGGGCGTGCAAGGCCCAATAAGGATTCCATATCAGAGAGTTCACTTAAATCACTGTCAGTCGTGGAAACCATACAGGCTGCGCAGGCAACCCAAACAACTCGACAGATGCAAGATTCTCCAGACACGTGCTTAATGCAATACAACCACCAACTCTCAACAACCAATCAATGATGCCCTTGAGCCCTCAATCTGGGTATAACTTCTTGCCAGCCCCGTAAGCGGATCCGCTGTAATCCAAGCCAGCAGCTGCTGATCAGCCATCAAATTGATTTATATTTGTATTGAGGCTGTGAATTCACCTGAGCAACTGATGCTGACGCCAGGGGCTGTGGATCCACATACTGGTACACGTCCTCTATCCGACGGCCGAGATCCGCCTGAATCACCTTCTTGATTTCATCGAACGGCAGCGGCGGCGTCCTGTCCAAGCAGCTCTGAAACTCCTGGACATACTCCGCTGGGAACAGCGTGGGCGCTGATGCAATAAACTGCCCGATCTTGATGTAAGTAGCGCCCAGCCGCTCAAAGAGCAATCTCAGCAGCCGGGGGGAGCTTAGCTCTGTTTGCGAGCCCCGAAACCCTGTCCGCAGATATTCCCTCCCCACGTGTGAGACTGCTTCCAACCCCTGGAAGAAGCGGAGCGCTCCGAGAGGGCCGGTCGCAATGCTGGTCTGCACAATGTCTTGCACCAGCTTCTGAAACGATCGGAGCCGCTCCTCGGAAAACTCGGGAGAGGAGGAGCGCCGCGGCCCACCCGCGGCGGTCTCCGCGTAATTAGGCCGCCCGCTGGTGGACGCCCCAGTGGAGGAGATCGCCCGGATGCCACCATGCGGCGCGCGCTCTGGGCGCTGCTCTCCTGCTGACTGGAAGCATGTTTGGAACCGCGCTGCGTCGCTTAGTAGGAAACTAGATTGAAGGATTCTGCAAAACGTCGAGCTTGACGGGACAGCATTGCGCGCCAGAGGATGCGGCAAGGGGCAGCTCAGGTGTGAGAGAAGGGCACGGGGGTTTTGTCGCGGTGCGTAATGCCCGTTGACGGCCAGAGACGGCCTGAGAGCTTGCATACGTGCAGCCGCCATGACCCTAGAGGCTAGAGAGAGGGAGCTAAGTTTTGGGACAAGGGACCAGGTATGGTCCCGACTCCCTTGTCCCTTGTCTAGCGCCCTCGCAACTAGGGAAGGATCGTGGATGGCCGACAACTAGGTAGGTGGCGGCACTGACCGTGCGCGTCTTGAAATTAAAAAGACGTAGTGGCACGGGGAATTTGCACCAAATATACCTAAAGGCTAATTCTGATGTACGGACTTGGTACGAAAAAGTCCGGAGATGATTTCTGCCCAATTAAAAGCACCCCGTTAGGGGGTGGTTAAGGGCTAAAATTTAACGTTAACCCAGATTGAAAAGCAAAAGAAAATAATTTTCGTAAGAGGATAGTGCGAAATCCCCGTGCCATAATACGGTTCACGGGTACACCGGTGACCGGGGTAGCCCGGGCCCCGGCCGCGCCCGCGCCCGATCTGCCAAAGTAATCATTGAATGATGGACGATTCATGATTGACCGTACTCTGACAAGTTACAAGCGTCACTGACGCAAGTAGGACAAAGTACACTAGTATATTAGTGTCTCCGGACATTTTTCTGTGTTAACACCCTCCCGTGCCGCGACCATAAATGAACAGATCTGTGAAGCTGGCCGGTAGGTACCACACCTGCACAGCGGTCATCCGGGCACTTGTTATCGCCGGCCGGGTAGCTGGACGACGGGCAAACCTTCCAGTGTCAATCAGGTTCGAAGCTACCTAATACGGCTATCTGGTGACTGTGACTGTAACTTTGATTTAATATCGACACTGTGACTGTGGTTGAGACTGTGACTGCGACTGTGACTGAGACATAATACCGTATTAGATTTTAATTTTGTCGGACCGTAAACTGTGGCGCTTTTAACCTGCCGGAAACCAATTGTGACTCATACTGTGACTCTTGACACTGGACACTTTGAAAGGTACCTAGACAGTGACTGTGACTGTGACTGTGACTTTGACTGAAACGGCACTGACTCGGCAGTGATCACCGGGAAATCTGAGAGGTCTGCGGGATGTAGCTCGGTACCATGCCGGTGCCCGGTCGAGGAGG